CATAGTGAAAATTACTTGGTATGCACAGCACAAAGCCTGCCTTCTTATAGGCTACTGCAATATCATCCCATGTATGATTCAGTCTACCGTGGGCATTCAGAAAAAAAAGACTGAACTCACTCTATTATAACGGGATGTAGGCTAAATGCAAACTTAATATTTGCATTTGAGTGGTAGCCTAGTGGTAGGCTTTAAACAAACTAACATTTGTGATTTTGTAGTCCAATATGAATGTCATATCTGGTATCCTTGATAAGGTCACCCTAGTCAATTTCAAAAACATATTCAAAACTACTTCCAGTGAACGTCGCTGAAGTAGCCTAGACAATGAAACCGCATTGCCGACTTTAAGCCGTGGAGATGGAGGACATTCCGCTTAGTATCCAGTGATAAAATAGAAAGCATGCGCTGAATAGAGGCATTCAAGTAGTCACCATCACAACCTACCTTCAAATCCCGCGGGCCTTTGAGAGAAATAACATGTCCAGATAAAATATAAAAGGTAGAGCCTATTTGAAAAGCAGAGAACAGCTCACGGCATCACTTGCTTGAGGACGACGCATGCGGATACTTGCCACGACCCACGAACAGGACTGTCTGAAACGATCAGGGAAAGATGCGCAGATTGATTGCCCCCCCAAAAAAGTGCAATGAAAGTTGTCTTATTTTCTAAACTGTTCGCGCAAAATTATTGTTGTCGCTGTGGATACAACTGTATCATGAAGCAGAAACAGAAAACTGTTACATGTTGCACGAGATCAGCAGACGGCAGAATAACGCAGACATCAGTCCAGACTTCACTCACCAGTATCTCGACTGGACTATAGGCTACTTGGCGCTATGCTGTTTAGAACTCCCTCCTCGCGCATCTCGCAACGTGAATGTAGCCAAGCCTACTCACCCTCGCCTTGTCATTTCTATGAGCCAATTTATTCGTAGGTGAATAGTGTTTATGTTAAGCAATTACATTTTCACATGACAATCCTTTACAAGGGAACCCAAAATGTGGAAATTGTATTAAAACACATTTTGGGGTGAACACCTTAAAATTAAGTAATTAATTAATTAATGATGTAATAAACCATTAATGAATTGGATATGAGCAGTCAACCCATTTAGCATACCATACCCAAATCGAGCGCACCCATGCCTTTGCAATGTTATAATCAAATCATCAAAGATAACCTTCATAGTCCTCAAACCTTATGAGGTTACACTCATAGCCTAATTGATTGCATGTTCCTCATAAATGGATTACATGCGCTTGAAAGGATCATGAAATATAATATTTTAATTTTCACCATATTCACATCTTAAGTTTGAAGCCTAAGCAATGCATTCAATTATGGCAGAGAAAGGAACCCACTGGGCACAGACGTTAATTCAACATCTATTTCACGTTGGTTCAACATAATTTCATTGAAATGTTGTGGAAACAACTTTGATTTAAACAGTGTGTGCCTAGTGGGAATGGACAACTTTGGGACAGATAGAGTTCTTCCTGTGTAACACTTTGGTGCGGTGTCCAATATCTGTCATGCCGTGAGTTGAGGTGGCATTAACTAATGGCTCCATAAAGTGCAACCATTAGGAATAGCATGGCGCTGCCACTTCGTAATTGTGTGGTCCCTTCCAAGGTCATGGGATTGACTGGGTGAGGGACTTGCTTACAGTGAGTGCACACTCTATTTCTACTAGTGGAAAATGCCGAAATGATTTCTGTCCAAACTGTCCATCTTCATGAGACCAGGGCCCCTACCTACAAAGCGTCTCAGAGTAGGAATGCTGATCTAGGATCCGTTTTGGCTTGTAGATCATAACGAATAAGATTATATGGACAGGAGGGACCTGATCCTAGATCAGCACTCCTACTCTGAGATGCTGTGTGGATTTGGGCTCAGGGTTCGCCACTCCTCGCTCAGGGGGCAACTTGTCATGGCTAGAAGGGGTGCAGCTTTTGTCAAATTATCATCCAAAGTTGAAATCGTATTTTATTTTAGCTAACACTAACACTAACCCTTTTCCTAACCTTAACCTAATTATCCTAATCTGTTACGTTAATTCTCCTAACCTCCTGCGTGAATTCTCCGAACCTGCTATGAAAAGTCAAATCTGACGTTACATTGACAAATGCTGGATCACTTCTAGCCACTGGCACTCCTCAAAATCAGACCAGCTCACCATTAAACAGTTGGCACATCATAAATAATATTTTCATTAGATTAATAATGATGCCCCGGTCATGCCACATCTGCTGTTTATTTGTATTCACTGTGCTGTTTATTGGTATTCACCTGTGGGCACTGTTGCAAAACTGTAAGTAGTCTTTAGTTTATTTTTATTTAAAAAAATTTTACAGTATCATAAGTCTTGGTTTTTCATTTCATAGAAAATAGAGGGATAGAAGGAAGGAGTCCTCCCTTGCAAAGCTGATACCCATTTTGATTGGTGTGATCCTTAAACGAGCCTCTCTAGCTACAGAGTATTCCCTGGAAGTGGAGTCAAACGCAGAGGCAGTGTGTGAAATTAGCCCCACCTAGTGGATAGCTCTCTCAAAAAGAGAATTAAATTAACTCATGACAACTAGCTGTCCAATAGTCCCTTCTCGTATATGGACAGCTATGTTCATTTTTGCATACCATGCTCAATGCTTTTACAATGATAACATTAGCATAATGGTATATAGCTATAAACCTAGATAGGCCTGCACTTGCTCCCACACAATGAGTTAGAGACTGTTGTTCTAGGAAACTGCCCTTTCCTTTGTATAACATTGCTCAATATGCAAATAAAATATGACTAGGGGCCATCCATTGTTCTTCTCAGAATTCCTGCATCAACATACTGACATGTTTAACTCACCTGTACGTTAATATTTATTTAGTATGGATGTCATCCAAAAGATCCAGCTTGTAATAGCTGGATAATCTCCCAAAAAAATTCATCCTAAAGGAATGTCATTTTGGAAAAACATACTTAATTTGGTGTCAGATTTGTCCAACATTTTATTTTGTTTGGGGTGATACCTGATATGCTCCCATCAAGGTGCATGAATTGAGGAAACTGAAGTGAAGAGGAAATGTAGCCAAAGTAAAACCATCGTGTGCGTTTCGGCCCACCATCAGGGTATAAAATTATAATGGTTATACAAAAGAAAGAGTAGGTGATTGGTAAATATTATTGTGACCTTAATCCAACACCTAGCGACCGCATCAAGGGGTTCAGACCTCTTGGCATAACGGGTAACGTGTTGGCTTGACAGTCGCTGGACCCGGGTTTGAATCCCGGTCGGGGCTACCCCCTGAATTCGCTAGACAGGTGTCAGAAGTGGGATAGGCCCGTAAGGCCATTGGAGAGGCGTGTACATGTGAGGCACTTGGTATAGAGAAGCGTGGGGTCATGTAGTGATCTTTTATTTTTTTGTTATTTTATTTTCTTCTTTTTAATATTTTTTTGGGGGGGGTAGATCAGCTTTAATATTGCAGATAGATTGTAACTTCCATCAATGTAATTGTCTGCATCACTTCCAATCCCCCATATGTTTTTTTCCCTCTTTTTTTCTTCTTCTCGCATATATACATATATATATTTATATACACATACATACACATATATATACACATACATATACATACATACATATCCTTTAAAAATATATATATTTCCCTTTATTACTTTCCAACCCCACCATCCCCTCCCTAATTGGAGTAAACTAGTGAACAACAATGCTTAGGCCTCTACTTCATGCTTATACATACTATATACATTTTATGGACACAGTCACTAATTATATTTAGTTTGTTTTTACTCCTGAACTTCCTCCGATCATTTTCATGATGTCCATCTGGTATGCTTCTATATGCCATATCTTTCTAACTGTGCTCTTTCACAAAAGCTCACAATATATAACCCACATACTCATTATGGACACAGCATGTCCTACACTAGTTATCTTGCTGTTATTAGTTGTTGTTATTAGTCCCATCCTTCAGCTCCATTCAACACCTCCCATCTATCTCTTAACACCATCCATATTGGATTTCTATTTGCCATATATTTTTCAACTGTACTGTGATGTTTTACAAAAGTTCTGAACCTTTCTATTCTCATTGTTTCTACAGTTTGTGAATTGAAAATAAACATCTTTGCTAAAAGTATTATTATATTATTGATCGATTGACTATTACTTTTCAGATCACCCAGTAGTACTATCTGCAGGGTCACCTCCATGCAAATATTGCAATCCTTCAGCCATTCCTGGACCTGTCCAGAAACAAGCTACAAATGGACAGTACCAAAACAAATGATCTAATGATTCTGTCTCTTCACAGCCAAATCTGCAGAGCTGGGAAGATTGTATCCCCCATACAAATAACATTCTATTGGTAGCAAGAATTGTATATAATAATTTAAATTGAAAAATTCTAAGTCATGTAGTGACCTTAACTCAACACCTAACAACGTCATCAAGGGGTTTGGACCACTTGGCATGATGGTTAAGGTGTTGGCTTGACAGTCGCTGGACCTGGGGTTCAAGTCCCAGTCAGGGATACCATCCACCTCATTTTTCACCATTCCCATTCTGTTCTGGAATTACTGTGTTTACTTTAGTATAATGGTCACCGTCCCCCTCAACATCACCACAGAATTACACATACAGCAAACAATAAGTACACATTTTTCCTTTCCCCTAAGCAGGCATGTTACTCCAAAAGCCAGGAGGTGGAACCACATAACATTAACAAAGACTTTGGTGAGTAATGATTCAAGCAACTTTATTGTTCAATTTTGTGTGTGTGTGTGTGTGTGTGTAATCTCCCCCCTTCAACACAGAAATTAGAACAGAGAAACAAACAAGAATCACAACAACAACAACAACAACAAAGGAAACCAAAAACATTCCAGTGTGTAATTGTCTTAAGATAGTAACATATCATTAGAGGATTCCTACCTGGTTATATAAAGGTCCTCCTTGTGTGTTTCACTGTGAACTATCAGCTATGGCCATTGTAGGACACACACTACTAGCACTCTCACTGGTAGCACTGGTCCTATGCTACCCTAACCCACCAACATGCTACACCAAGGTGTTGAGTATGGCTCGAGACCTCACCCATCAGGCAGCGATGATCAAGATGGAACCTGAAACTGTAAGTCACTTATCATAGAGGGAGTGAGCACTGATTGCAGTGGAGTATGACACGTTGCACTTTTGCCAATGCCTAACTTCAATCTGTGTTTTCCAGAGGCATTGCATGGCACACATCCCACATCTCTACCTAGATGTACATGTAAGTATGGCTATGGCATTGTGGAAAGTATTGTTGCAGTTTTCACTGTGTACTTTTGAAATCAGTATTGTGTCTGTTTAATTAAATACATTTCCCTGAAGTTGAGATTGCCAAAAAAAGATTACTGATTTCTACACATTATGATCGTTGCTCTGCAACATAAGAACAGAAATGATATTCATCTTGACAGAACACTTGCATCATGCCGAAGATGAGGCAGTACATCTTTCTGGTGGATGGCTTGCGTGAGCGGCGCTGTGCTTACACCAGGAAAGTGCGGGTGGTGGGTCTCGCGGTCAGGCAACTGCACATGATCATGTCCCAGAGGTGTCACGGGGTAAGAGAACGACGACTAGCATCCACAGACAGACTAGCCCTTGATCCAGGCTCCCTGTCAATCAGACTTGATTAAACAGAATGGGGAAACAGAAGAGAACCACAACAAAGCTCAGTACTAACACATAAAGATAGTACTATTATGGGTCAAAATAGTGAGTTTTATGATGCAAATGATTGAAAGTACATTCTGTTCTCTGGGATTTTTTGCCTTTCTACTGTATTTGGTCAAGGAAATGCACAAAGTTGAATGACCTTTCAGAAAATCAGCACTCTCATATCTTCTGAAATGACAGAATAGTTGTATGCTCTTTGTTATGTAACTGTCCTCATGTTGCGACATAGCCCTGGCACTGAGCTTTTGTATTTACCAAATGTCCCTCATGTTGAAGACATTACTGGTTCCTTTTAGGGCAGTGGAACTCACAGGCCTCATATCTCTGTGTTTAGGAGCTGGTGTTCACCACTGATGACTGTGCAGCCTTGGACCGCCCACCGATGAGCTGGAGCCTAACATGATAATGTCACTGTTTGATGGGAGGGAGGGAGGAAGGGAGAGAGGGAGAGAAAGAGGGAGAGAGAGGGAGATAATTGGATATTACTGTGTACAATGCAAAACCCTGCAATGGGGAATTCCGATAGATTGAATGACATTGTACGTTTTCTGTGACAAATGACAAAATAGTGCCTTAGCCTACAAATAAAAGTAAATTGACGACATGTTCATGTTACATTAATGTCCTTGACTGCTTGCTATCTATGGGTTTGAGTTGAAGCCTAAATGTTGTGCTTTTTTGTTTCTTCTTGGGCTGCAATTATTTTAATAAGACGTCCTACTATGATACACTATATGATCCGTCATCCATCGTTACAGATGTGATTTTACTTCCCAAAACGTAACTTTCTGGACTGCAGAACTTTTTTTCTTCATCATTCATCTGAGAAATATAAAATAGCCTTGTGAATTATAGCGTAAAAACGACCAAAGGGACCACATAATGGCAAGTCCCAGAAGACAGCAGCAGAAACACTCCATAAACATACAGTTTGTGCTGCTGATGTACCAGTACTATGATTAAATGCCACCTAGTGGCGCTTGTGGGCTGTAGAGTGCACCAAAATATCGACTTGGCTGCGTTTAGACAGGCAAACCAATAAAATCAGCTATGAAAAATATCTGATGTGAAAAGATCTGATGTGATTGGTCAAAAGACCAATTAGTGGAAAAAAATTGCAGAATTGGGCTGCCTGTGTAAACTGTGTCCTATCTTTGATTACCTGTCAGTGGCCACATGAAATGGGTGACAACTGAAAAACTACACGCCCATCTATCTAAGATGAGAAGGGAAGTTCGTTCAACTACATATATCGTGCGTAAACAGAAAGGATCTGCACATAGTAAAACGACATTTCCATTACGGCCGCGGGAGCGAAAGGGTGGGGCTTCTGTCTTTTTACAGCGAAGCAACAATTTATCCCCGGTAACTCTGCTGTAGCAGGTGGTCGCGGTGTGGCAGTGGACAAGCCATGTGAATGAAAATGGAAATATGAAGTTGTTTTATGACAACGCGTGGACTGATATGAACTGACGCTTATTGTCTTATGTGAAATTTTTTGGGTGCGTGCTTCTAGAGATCAGGTAGTTTTTCTCCGAATACTTTTTTAGTTCAACACGATTGAGTGAGACTCAAAATAATTGCTGTCTTCAGAAAGTTGGCTTTGAATTTGTTTTATTACATTTTGCGGTGAAACCATGGCTTTTGCTAAATTCAGCAAAATCCTTCGCTTGTCTTCTTTTGACATAAAAAAGAAGGCAAAACAATATGAACATGTTCATCGAGACATCAATCCCAATGACCAATGGGAAATTATCGGAGAATTGGGTGATGGAGCTTTTGGAAAAGTTTACAAGGTAAGCATTATGGGTTTGTTTCAATAGGCTATATGTTTAGAGGATAATATAATTTTGTATGACTTCAAAGAGATGATCATAGGAAAGTTGTTGCGCACTGAGTATAGGCGCCACTCCATTTGCGTTTAATCTGCTAGCCCATAGGGAGCACAGGGGCAATAATCAGATTTAAAGTTTTTTTTATTTTTTATATATATAGATAATTCAAATCTTTTGTTTCTCTGTAATATTACTAGCCACCTAGCAATTTTATGAAGTTGGCAAGCCCAGATAGGTTCCCAACTTCCTAACTAGCTACCAAGAAGCCATTTCAGGCAATCAATCAAGTTAGAGTAGCAAAATTCTCAAATTTATGGTCAGGCCTAGGTCCCCATCGGTCCACCCCCCAGCCATCCTCACAGACTTTGTGCCCCCTCAGATTTTTGGGGTGTATGACTCCCATGATAGGTCCTCTGCTTATTTGTCAAGCCTATAAATAATTTGTAGGCACCACACTGTCATATGAAAACAGATGTGCTGCGCTGGCAATTAAGGCATTTTACTTATTTGGGCTGGCAATCTGTCAAAACCGGTTCAGTCATGTATACATCTCAAACAACATTTATGCAATTTCAGAGACATTCACCTGCCTTTGAAATGCATACTGTACCTGCAACATTCTGTACCCTATTTCTGAATGACATTTAAAATGACTTTATTCTGATCTTTCTGTAGCCATACCCAACCCATTTGTGAAGTGTTTAGTTAATCTGAGTAAGCAAATGAGCATGATCGTAGAAAAAAGTTGAGTTAAAGGCTGAATAAGTAATGTTGATTGAGTCAGTCCACAGCGTATCATAAATACCCATGCTTGTGACATCAGATGTATGACTGCTGACCTTTGGACCAGATGACTTGGACCAGACGTTTCCATGTCAGCAAATTAAATTATTTGGTTGTTTAGGTTTTATGCCTACAGTATTCAGTATTGAATTGGCCCGTCACCAAATGATGCATTCTGACCTGTTTACTTACAGGTCTTACTAGTTCCTGTAAACTAGGTGATCTGTTAGTTTCCTGTTGGTGTACACTCTCCTCTTTCAGATATGAAAAACACCAGCTGTGAAGACAGTGCTACAAGTAGCTTACTCTGTTTTCTGATGTGAATAAGTGTTATGTGGGTTTTCGGTATCATCATGAGTAAGAGATGGTTACTTACCACACCCTGAACCTTTGGATTGACAGTAGGCAGAAGGAGAAATGTCTTGAATACATGAACATTTGGTTAAGTGCTGAGGGACGCGCCGTAGGGAGTTGCTGGATTTGCACAGTTCAATGCACATTTAACCTCTGGCACCGCTCATCACTGTGACTTCATAATCATTTTGACGCTAGACTACAACTAGAATGATAATCTTCTAATGTTTTTTTTGTGCTGATTGTTTTCACCACTTATTGTGACATTTGAAAGAGATTACTTTCTTTTGAAGGGCAGCAAACTCTGATCTAATGAGTTCCCTCTGCCCATAAAAACATTGTCCTCTCGGGGCAGCTTTTAGAAATAAAGTCAAAAACTGTTTGATGTCTGCTGTGCCCATGTGAATGTACCCTACGATGTAACCACAATGATGAGATAGATGTTCTTCTTCTTTGTTTTAGTTTTATTATCTCTCTGTCATACTGTGTCCAACCGTGAAGGATCTGGCCTAGCCATCTTGTCTCAAGAGGACCACAATGGAAATAAGTGCTTTTATTGTGTATTATCCTCATGATTTTACTCATGTCATGTATGGCTTTTTTATGTGTGCTTCTTTTTTTAAATGGTCGAATTAATAAACTAAACAAACAAAATGCCCCAATACAGACAGATCAACTCCTGTTGTTCTAACTGGGCTCCATTTGGATCCCCACTATTAGCCTTCCCTGTTTGCGTCGTCCAAACTCAACTGTAGTTTTGGGTTAGGATCGCTATTTAATCTGGATCTTTTAGCCCCCACATTGCGACATGGCAGGAGAAGTATTTGCTCGTGCCCAGTGTAGTACAGTGAGTGCCTTTTGACTTTGGGGGCCAGTGGAAGAAGTGAGGCTGGGCCAGGGCACAGTGCACCCACTCATACCTTCTGAACCGGCATGTGAGTGAACACCATGTGGCATTTCACTGATGACACTGAGAGGAAAAATAACATGGAGCCACCCTGATATAAATAAAATATGCCTTCAGTTAACGCCCACACCAAAATATACCTCCTGAAGTAGCAGGTATACCTTGACAGTGGCTATTGAATAAGCAGTTGTCCGTCTGGAAAATACTGAATTTTTCCTTACCCTTCAGGACTGAGAATAAAATTGAGTAAACTACAAGGAATCTTTTGGAATTTCAACACTTACAATGGAAACGTGACAGTCTCTACATCCTTCCTCCCTGGCTACATGTGATCTCCAGGCCCATACAGTTTGGCTGTCCTGGAGTGCATGCGGAGGAGTCAGGGTCAGGAGGGAAGCTGTGGGCCGGGAGAGTGATGGAAGCACTTCCTGTATGCCCATCAGGCTACTGACTAATCACTCTGTGGGAAGAGAAGGGGTTTCGGGGCTCCGTCCACAGTGAGTAGACTTAGGCTCTTTCGCAACGAATCCTAGATTCCTCAATGATTCCTCAATGATTCCTAGATTCCTCACATCCTCTCTTCTCACCTCATTCTCAAAACCTATTGGAGAAGAAGATCTGAGGGGCCGCTGGCCTCATGATCTGTGTTGGCTGTACACATCGGGGTAAACAACAGGACTTTGTTGACATGCTCTCAGGTTTTCCGTGTCCTGGGGTTATCACGGTATCATGCTCAGGTTAATGGCCCCATTGGCCTGTCAATGTCACTGTCACCAGATGGTAAGGAGGACATCGTAGTCACTGTCACGCATCAGTAGTTAATTTAAAGCTGCTCTGGGACAGTATCCAGGTGTCTGTATCTAGTCTGCCTGAACCAACCGGGAGGAGGGAGCCCTCAACTATTACTCTTAAAACTGTCCAGTTTGCATCGACGTGATCACTCCTGAGATCAAAGATTTCCCAAAGCTACAGACAGCCATGACTAGACTAGAGCCGAGGTACATAAATCTCCGCACATATAGGCTATTGCTGAGACGGGGGAATGTCCCACTTCCTGCTGACCCGTGTGTCACAGGATGTTTTTTATCTGTACGGCCGCTGCCAAACCCTTAAGCACAAGTGCCGAAAGGTTCCCTTTACTTATTAATGGGACATGTGCCGCTGCTGCTGCTTGGTACTATACTGTAAGTTGCGTTAGTTAGCCTAGCATTACCCGAGGGATGCTTCCCAAATGGCACCTTACTCCCTATGTAGTGCACTGCTTTTGACCACAAAGTGCTAGTGCACTATATAGAGAATAGGGTGTTGTGGTGATAGCACATCAGCGCTCCAGGGCTGGTAATCTGTGGGGCCCAGTTGTGGCCGGCCTGGCTGATAAAGGTTCTCCTAGGTGGGTGTGGACAACATGCTCCTTTGTGACGCTCTCTCACTCACCAAGCTCTCATGTAGAGGCCCGTCCCCCATGACTTCTCAGCCCCCTGTCGGTATGTCTGTGGCAGGTTGCCTTGGTGACTGTCTGAGATGGAGTGTGGGCGAGGGAGGAGTG